GGAAATGGTCTCGGACATTCGTGTTTCACGAACTCATCCTAATAATTACAGGTTTCGTAGTCAGGAGTGCGTTTGTAGTTTGTAGATTGTGTTGGTAGCAACACGCCAACACGATGCGCATTTGTTTTGAAAATGAAACATCATATATATTGACATTGGCGTATAAGGCACGTATTCCTCGAAATTTGTAATAATAATATTCATCATAGCATTGTTAAAAATAGACAGATGAAAAAATGACAAAGTAAAAATGTAGAGAAAATAGAGAAAGGGAAAAGTTTAAATTAAACCCTGCCTACAGGTATGAGTGTGGGTTTTAAATGTTACGTTCCGTTTTTTTTGTTTGTAAAATATTACATTTTCCCCTCTGCATGTTATGTAATTTTATTTATTTATTGTTGCACGGTGTACTCATTGGACTTGTGCTAATAAATAACAATATTTGTTAAAAGGTCGCCTATAATCGTTAAAACACGTTGTCACCTACTGTAGTTGAACGGAACTTGAAAGTTGAATGTTACCAAAATAGAAATTTTACTGTTTGTATTTTTCGATATAGGCCCCTACACAAAACAGCATTCTAGGGTCCATCCATGCAAATATTTTTAGTATTTAGTCTTATCTACAATACAATTTGTTAAAGTATAAATTGCTTAATTTCACGAGTAATGGACGAAACTCGTTTTGTAAAGAACACGATCAATTACTGTAATATGATCGATGCAGAATGAGGTGTATAGAAAACCCCGTGTCAGAGGTTTTTAGTACGTTATTTATAATGGCCATGAAATATTTATATTCTGATTATTGAGTTTATTTTAACTTCATTTAACTTCTACGTGTTCTTATACCGTAATTAAACTTATTTAATTAATTAAAAAAATTAATTAATTAATTTAATTTAATTTAATTTAATTTATTAATTTTAATTAATTAATGCATTAAGCAAAATAATGTATTAATAATTTTCGTTAAAAAAGTAGTTTCGTTCTAATAATATAAATAAGTAATCAATATCGTCTGTGATGACGTACAAACAATCAATTAATTGTAAACTGAAGCACCAATTTACTATAAAATCACGCAGTTGCATGGCAATTATTTTTCATCCTAAAGCGTAACAATACCGTAGTAATCCGAAAACAAAAAGTGTAATAAATCAAATTAAATAACTAATAATTATTAACTATTGGACCAATTTGACATGGGAAATTATATTTGTAAGATACAGTACTCCTAGTTCATCATTTACGTTTGTGTTTAGGATACAACAAAATAAAATGCTATGACCAACAAAAATACTACAGTAGTTTTGCAATATATGTTACTCACTCATACAGTAAATCTTTAACTTACTGTTTGAGTTAAAAGAGTGAAAAACTTTAACTACTCTACTTATTTAGGACTGTTTTGGAGTGTTTAAAGGACGAATTCGTTTAGACAATATCATTTTTAAATGCCGCATTAGCAAATAAACATTAATATACAACTAAATCAATAATTATCTGTAATATAAAATTTTAAGCTCTTAACAATGCTAGTTAAGGTAAATTTCAATTTATGTTACAATCAATTTAATCTGCGTGATTATTATTTCAACCATTTATATTTAAAATGCCTTATTTTAAATTAGTAAACTCATTCATTTTTATTACATTTTAAAGGCTGGCCTTTAACTCGTTGTATGGGCCAATATATCACAATTGGTGTAGAAATTATTAAATGTTAGTTTTTAGTACGTTACTACATATTCTTCGTTGTATAACATCAGTAACATGAAGAAATAAGTTATTTCATAAACTACAACTAAATTAAAATATTTATGTTTCGAGTTTTGTCATGTAACTGCAAATGGTGTTTATAGTCTTGTACCAGCATGTTTTGTCGTATAACAAGATTGTTTACATATAACAGCATTGGACCGTATAACTATTCCTTTTTATTGTATAATTTTAAGTTTTCGTATAACTGATAGCGATGTCAAACTACATTGTTGACATATAACAACATTGGGTCGTATAACTATACGTTTTATTGTATAATTTTAAGTTTATAACTGATAGCGTTGTAAAACATCATTTTCGACGTATAACAGCATCTTGATCTAATAGCTATATGATTAGTTGTAGAGCTATACGTGTTGTCGTAACTACACATATTGCCGAGTTACTACGTTGGTTACGACGCCGCGTACAGCGTACTACGAGTTGTAGTTATATGACATACGACAGCCACTATGACGCATCGTTTTCAGATACTCCTGGACTTGCGCATTGTCAAGTTTCCTGACAAAAGGAAAGTGGATTTATTCGGTTCGGAATTAAATCGCAGGCTAAATTTATCAGTTTATAACGTAAAACTAATTTTGAGTACCGTAACAAATATTTTCTATGACATTTTATGGATGGGATTTTATTTTGGTCTGTTACAATAAAATGTGTATAGGCCTACTTTATAATTGATCATACCAAATACGTATATGATTTGACAAAAAAATGTCTGGATATACCGTTAACGAATTTGTCAAATCGGTGTAAATATTTTATCATTGAGATAGTAAGGACTTTATACTAAAAAACAAAACATGAAATGTTTCCAACGTTCTTAAAAGTTAAGCCTTGTAACATTGTGACCAACATTGACTTGAAAAATATTTAACAGTGGTATTGGTATAATTTTGAGTATTGTCAGTTAATTTAACGTTATTACTTTAGTTTTGCGATCTTTCAAAAATACGTGTTAACTCCTTGAGTTATTATAAATATTATATTTAGGAAATCATGTGTGACATTTTCACAAATATAAAAGTTGTCTAATCCAATCCCAGACTCAAATATAATACTTTATTCCAAAGCTAAGACAACCGTATTATCCTCATATATCTCTGTTCAAATACAAATTTTTCTACGCATTTCCCGCTAAATCCTTCCACACATCTCACAAGACACTTACAGGAGCAGATGAAGGTGGACAAAGGTAGCTCCAATATCACAATATCACACGTCACTATCACACGCACACCGCGAAGTCTCCACCAATGCTACAACACATACTGAGCTCCTCGCGGTGAGAGCTCCGGAGCGCGAGTGTGGAAGCTGAAGCTCGGTCGGTGGCGCGCCCCCTCCCCCTCGTCATCTCCCCCCGCCCCCCCGCCCCATACCAGCTGACCGGACTAATTAAATCGGGCCTGATAATGCATGATAACTGACACTTTGCTACCTGCTGCAGCACCGCAACGTGTGTGAAAACAAAACAATGGGAATAGGTTCGACATCTTCGCTTCGTTGGGGATGGAAAGAGTGATAGAATATCGTATGAGTGTGGATGAGTTTGTTGAGCATTTACATAGTATAGCTGCTGGAAAAGATGTATGAGATATTGTTTTTATTATACTAAGGGGAGCAATGTTTAAAGGAGATGTTTATATCGATATATTTAAGCTGTAAAAGTATTGCTTTGGCGTGGTTATTCGAATATAACTTTAAATCTATTGTTACACTTGATTCTTATTCAAAGTAAACAATTCATGATACTACTGTAGTACTAATAAGAATATCAAGAATTCTTAATTGGTTTCAACATGCTACTTGATGTGTAACATGTTTGTATGAATAATCAAACAATAGGCATAATTATTATTTTTTCAATGGAAGTATATTGTTATGACGCTAGAAGTATTGCAAATTTCAAACATTTTAGTTGAAAAGTCTTAAATGTATATTTTAACTGTAACAAAAAAAAATTTCAAATCATTTGAAGCTACCACAAACATTTTGAAAACACAAAAAACTGTAAAATCCTGTAATATAGTAATGGTATTTTACTGTACAATTTTTATATGGAAATTTCATTTTGTGAGTCAATGACTAAACCACTCATTGTGAATTAATCGCAAAGAGTCAACTACACATGTTGACGTATTATATATTGCTGACTCAATCTTTTTCCTGCATTGAGTAGTAGAGCCACATTATAGTTTATTCTGCAAACAAAGAAACCTAAACCAAACCAACAAAACGATTCCCGCACGAACAACCGAGGGAAATACAAGACTAATAAAATAATAACAGGTATTAGTGTGGCGGCGGGGAGACGCCATCGACTTTTACGAAACTGCGGAATTCCGCTAACGGCAAAATTACAAACCCCGTCCTACACCCACAAGCGTCCCAGCGTCCCAAGTGATTTTTAAACCAAATTGCCAGTTTATATGAGCTCGAGGACCCAGTTTTGAGTCAATACAATAATTAGCGGCTCCATTAGGACCTTCCCTGAGGCACGGCGGGCGCCGACCCTTGATATATGGCACACCCACCCTTCGCTATTATCACTTCTTAAAGAGGACACCCGCCAAATCGGTCCACTTTTGGCGGCTTTTTAGCCGACCTATTAGCTTCGGGCAAAATGGTTACGGATAGTTAAGAAACTAAGTTTAAAATGTGAGACTATTGCTTTTGGTACCAAAAATTGTATTGAATAATAAAGTCTGGGACATTCCTGATTAAAAAGTTGATAAAACTAATACAGCTTGTTGTAACCCACATTGTACGATATATAGGTCATTCTATCTCTAAAATAGAACAATACTTCTCCCAAATAATCTTTATAAAGAACGTCCTTCATTCAACAATTCATTACATCTTATAATTATTGTGTTTATTCTTACATTTCCTATTGTTATGAAAATGCATCAGAGTTTGAACACAGGAAGCTGCATATCATGCAGACCTTAGCCTCCGGCCGTGAACCAGATGCTGTTGGCCAACAAATGCATCTTGTCATAGCCTCGCTAAGTGGACAGTTTGATGCATTTGTTTGGTCCACTTCATCTTCGGTGATCGGCGCAGTGGCCGTGATGCAACGACATTGCCCTAGCAACTAAACTGTTGTTTATTGCTGTGTCAAATATAAATAATTTAACATTAAATATTCTTCTTTGTCGTGATTTGTCTAACTTGCCAAACCGTTTAATTGTATTTAGTTTTTTTATGTTTACTTACCAAAAGGTGAAGGGATGGATTTATTTCGTGTTCGTGATCATGTGAGTCCTCCAGTTGCAACTCGTCTGCGTTGCTCTGGAAGTTCAAAATAACTTATTTATTTGTAAACCTAGGCTAAATTAACTTTACTATCTCAAATAACAATGGTTTTCGCTTTAACTGAATTACTGATAAAAAAAGTAGTACACATTTTGTCGTAAGTGATTAATTATTCCACTATATTTGAGTAACTAATGACGCAAATTGTATACAGGGTGATTTGTACTCAGTGTGACAAAATTTTTTTGATGTAAGTACAAAGTAAATGAAGTGTGATGATGCGTATCAAATGTTCCAAGTCTCAAAATTAGCGTCCCAAAAAATTATTTTATGTTTTAAAAAAAATAGCCATACTTTTAAACTTAATACAGCGATTTCTCAATTACCTGTATATGGTTTTGAGTAGATAATGTCATTTTCGTGTTCTACGTTAAATTTTGGACAAGAATAATGGAAAATGACGGAGGATCAGTTGTAAAAACTCCATGGTAAATAGATTCTAAGATAAAAATTAAGATATTTTATAAAAATTTTAAAAACAATGGTCCATTGCATTTTTCACACCCTGTATACAAGAAAGTGTCGGAATATGTTAAAAACTGCGCCATTTTATAAGCTTTCCAACCATATGCTCTACTATTGAGGTTTAGATATTTTTTTGCTTGTTTTAGTGGTTTGAATACCAGAAAACAAGGAACTTTTTTACTGTTTTTACTGTTCAAGCTAAATCAAAAATACATCTTTTGCTTAATACATGCTGACTTTCTATGTTTTAAATGTTAAAGACACAATGCTTTGTAGTCTTCAAACCATTAAAGCGTACATAAGCAGACATAAACCTCAATAGTGTAGCATATCGTTGGAAAGCTTATAAAATGGCGCAGTTTTTAACATATTCCGACACGAAAGTGTCATGTGTGTATTCAATACACAACTGTATTCACTGTGTATTCAATACACAAGTGTGTGTATTCAAGAAATTGAATACAGGGTGTGAAAAATGCAATAGACAATTGTTTTTCAAATTTTTATCAAATATCTTAATTTTCATTTTTGAATCTATTTACCATGGAGTTTTTACAACTGATCCTCCGTCATTTTCCATTATTCTTGATCAAAATTTAATGTAGAACACGAAAATGGCATTATCTACTCAAATCCAATACAGGTAATTGAGAAATCGCTGTATTAAGTTTAAAAACATGGTTATTTTTGAAAAACATAAAATAATTTTTTGGGAAGCTAGTTTTTAGACTTGGAACATTTTATGTGCATCATCACACTTCATTTACTTTGTACTTGCACCAAAAAAATTTTGTCACACTGAGTACAAATCACCCTGTATGTAAATTTTACATGTAGTCGTAGGTCAACATATTTTTTTTTTACTTTATACGTTATCTGTTAGAAAAATTGTCTGAGATAAAAGTCTTAAAAGCGAATACAAATATAGATGAAGATATTTTACTTACCTTATAAGCTTCAGAATAGTTCAAGATGTGGATTTCAACTTTGTAGAATCAAAGATTCTGAAACAAAAAAATAACATTTATTGGATAGTAAAAAAGTTATTGTTATTAATTATTATTAGTTATTATTAGTTAGTTATTGTTATTGTTATTCACTAATATTGATGGAATGATACAACAAAACTTATATCATACAAAATATAATTGGCAAAATAAATTTTGACGTAAACTCTAAACTCAAATCTTATCAAAAATAATTTAGAGTGACGACGTTGGTGAATGCCATTTATATAAATTTCAAATTAATAAAATATTAATATTCAATTGGTGTTTGGATTTAAAAATGTAAAGTAGTATCATTGACTATTGGATGATAGTCAAAGGTAGTAGGTATTTTCTGCGAACTCCCCATCTAGTGAATAAAGCAATTTTACAATTTAGTATCGCAATTGAATCCCAGTTCCAATATCAATTAAAGAAATTTGTGTTAGATGAATTCACTAGCACATCTTTGATCATAATTGCAGTTTATACAGTATCTCCTGCTAAATATGAATCCGCAAAGTCTACTTTTAAGCAGTTTACAGGCAATGGAAGGTATTTGACAGATTCCCAAGACCTACTAATGGTTACCTCTGGTGCAGGTGTGATGCTTGATCCGGTTATTTAGTATCCGAAGTTCACACGCGATTCGCAGCCCAACTTTCGACGATATTTACAATGTGACTGTTTACACGGTTGGGACTTGTTTTAATTAAAATATATCAGTGCAAGCTCAACAGCTCAACGGTATTTCCTCCGCACTTTACTACCTGGTCGAAAACAGGAAATGTAGAAAAGTTGTAGTCGGTAATTTTTAGAGAACTAGCGTTCCCAGCGGTTCTGTAAGTTATAAGGACTGTTCACACCGGCGTAGCCAGACGTATTAATACTTTTTCGAAATACGTAGCTGACGTAGCTCCTAATGTAATTCATAGGGAGTGTTCACACCGGCATATTAATACGTGAGCTACGGAAGCTACGGCGCTGCCGCTACGCCGGCTAGCTACGCGTAGCTCGCATCGCCGAATACGCGCATGCGCACTAGCACACCGGGCTGTCACCGCCACCCTCCCTCCACCTCATCATTAATTTATAAGTGGTAAATGTTGGACTATAACACAAAAATTCACTATAATTTAAAAAATCATTAAATCGCGTTAATCTATCACATTCAAATTAGACTAGGCCTATAACATAACAATCTTAAGACAACTATGATCAATATAATAATATTCATCATAAGAGCAATTTAGTGTCCACTAAATTTTTTTGTTTATGCTTGCAAATCTCCTTATCAAAAACAATGTCTCTCTTAATATGGTTTATTGTGGTTCATGTGGGCTGACATTTATGAAACATTAATGAATTATTTCTAGACATAGGCCTACTAGACTACGTCTTTTTACAACTTACACCATGGACTATTTTATTATGTAATCCTTATGGATGAGCAAAATTATTGCATGTTTTCTGGTAATTTCTTTTATATCATAATATAGTGCAAATCTTATAGTCTACTACAGGCTATACGGCCTAAAAATTAGAGTGAAATATTTTTGTCAACATTAACACATTAATCAACAGGCTTTTCAGGGTACTAATAAAAGCTGCAATTGAACCGTGGTGATCTTAACTGAAATTCATGAAACACTAATAAAAATAAACAATAAATTAACAAATAGGCTATAAACAAATATGAAATAATATAATAAAACAAAAAAACGACAGCCGGCTCACCGGCTACGTAGCCGTCAGACGTAGCTGCGGTGTGAACAGTGCACTGGCGACGTATTAATACACCGAATACGTCTGCAGACGTCTAGCTACGCCGGTGTGAACAGGCCTATAGTGGTACGGGAATTAAAACGCGCGAGGACAAAACCCTCTTTGTTGTTGAAGGCTTGGAGTGCGCTTAAAACCAGTAGTAGTTCGAAGAAGGATAGCAATAAAAATAAATAGCATAAAGTTAGTTTCGTTTAATATTCTAAATGTACCTTTTGGTAAGTTATAACTCAGATTGAAAATTTTATAACATCTATGAGTTATATTCTAACTAAAATGTACTAAAGATTTAAAAACTACTAATTTGAAAAAGTTGACAAATGTTACTAATATAGTGAAATGTTTTTTTTTTTTTGCTTTTTTAATTTGAACTGGTGTACTGGTGAACTAGTGGTAGAAAAATATCGAACAATACGTCACTTTTCTAACATAAATGTAATACATCAAGGATAATACTTCTTAAATAGTAAAATTGTTATCCAAAGTTAGCCATATAATAACACTCAATAGATTGAGAAACGCCCGATGAGAAGCAGCTCAAAACATGTTGCAGCTAAATAAATAAACACCCGTTACAACTTCCGCACCTTGCTTCAAACGCACGTTCATCAAAAATAATTGAGATTAGCTTTTTGAAAAGCAGAAAATTGAGTTTGTATTGCCGCCTCACGAACTTGTAAATTATCACTTGTTTGCCAATAGCCTATATCGAGTTACTTATCTACTTATCTCTAATTCAATCTTTCAACAACCCATTTACTTCTGTGATCTGATTTCATACCTCAGGAAAAAACTACAAACCGATTAGTAACAATTTTATTTTAAGTCGTTATGTAACGAGTGTGGACCCATTGTGTGGTGTTTGTGATAATAATCACATAATAAATATAATTAGATTTAGAACCACAGACATTTCTCATGAGGGTATGTTTTGTCTCCGAATAATGCAATATAAGTTATGCAATTATGGTATACTGTATTGTTATCCTACAGCAGTTAGCTTCAACTCTTCAGGGTGAGAATATCAGGTTCGATCCCCGTCAGGTCCAAAAATATTGGAGACTGTTACGTTTTTTTTCCACAAAAGCATCTGACGAGAACATAAAATATTTGTAAATGCCATCAGCCTGCGTCACTTCGTGACTCAAAATACATGATATATTTGATATATAGTTGATACGGGTGAAAACTATCAATTATCATCATATCCCTATTATTTTCATTGCGTTCGCGATCTCTTCGAGGCATCTTCAAATTTACAAATGCTAATGAAACATACAATGAAAACACAAAATCTTTTCTTAACAATTTAAGCAAATAACATTACAATATTTTACTTAAATTCCCTAAAATACCAACAAAACATACTATGAAAACAAAAATTCCTTTCACAATACAAAATCCAACGTAAGTCATTTTCTTTTTTACATTTTATACAAAGTAGCATTACATTATTTTACTGGAATTCACTGAAACATCACCAGCTACAGATAACCTCATTTTCGTATGGATGCAAACAAAATTGTATTATGGCCATCTGTTTTGATGTAAACAAATCAAAACTTGAAACAGTCCAGATGATTTACAACAGAATTGAGCAGAAACTATGAAATTTTAAAAGCCTCTAGGACGAAGGGCTTTTACGAGGTATCATCCAAACCCGCAAAAGGCACATCTAGAGGAGCTTTAAATTGATACCCAATATGCCTATAAAAATAAATATTTAGGGGTCGATTTGCTGCACACAAAAATCCAACAAATTCTTTAAACAATATAAGATAGCTGTGTTCGCAAAGGTACATTTGTTATACTTACCCATAAATGAAGTACAATTGACCGTAATACATCCAAATAGTTTTTTATATTTATTATGGGAGACATTTTCATTTTCCAGACCCAGCCACACTTTATGAAAACAAAATAGCTCTTAAAATAATTCATACATATTTGTATTCATTATTTTTTTACATCCAAGGACCCGTCTACTAAAAACCACCCTCTTAAGACTTAGCGTTAAGTAACAATAATCCGGGTACAAACGGTAAACCAGAGATAAAAAAGAGGGTGGACGACGTAAAGACAGCTGAGGACGTCGACAGATGTCTTACACGCGCGATTTGTCCTGAAGATTTATCAGCTGTTATCTTTGTATTGACCAATGTCCATAGGGCGTGACTGGAGACTCCCCAGAACGTAGTAAACTAGAGCTGTTAAGGAGAATGTCTTAGAGGAAGATTCATTCGGTTGTTTCTAAATTTTAGAACTTCAACGGAGCAAAATAAGTAAAATATGTAATTGATGCGCGTTTTAATAAACTTAAATACCTACATCAAAGTATTCTCGAAAATCTGGTTTCAATCAAATGCACCAAATTTAAAGAAAATAAATTATTCTAAATAAAACTAATATACGACGTTGGTGTATGCTATGGAATCGCTTATTTCAAACCAACCATCTAAGTAACAAAAGCTGGGCGAGAATATATATTTTTAATAGTGGCGAAATCTGTGATTGGCTCATTCAACTATAAGTTCTGTTTTAATTTTTTAAAAACCTTCCCGTATAACGTATGTCTTCTTTAGTCAATAGTTCAATGATAATCGAGTAGGGCTGAACGACATATTTTAATTGATCTGTGTATATTATTATTCAATCAAAATACAATTCAACCAGTATATGACAGCGATCCCCGAAGGTACATGAAGAGCAAGGAGTGGGCTGCCACAAGGCGGCGTCTTAGATCCCATCTTCTTTGTGCGCGAGAGACGCGTGTTCCCGGCACGCGGCACGCGCTAGTGTGGGTGTCATCTATTGTCAGCTACTTTCTTACGTTCCCCTCGCCTATTCATCGCGCTCCCTCTCAGATTTCTTAACGGCATTAATTTTTGTGTTGATTTTACATGGCAGGCGGCCAACGGTCGCTGGTAGGCGTGAAATTATACGACATTCCCGGTCAATACAGCTGTCCAGCACTCGCCCGCCGCTGTAATATAGGCTGTGAGGATCTTCGGAAACATCTTTGTGGGCTTAGACGTTATTTTAAATTGTTTACACATGCTTTGTTTTTGTGTCTGACATTAAAATTCTTTATGAGCTCTTGTTCGTAACCAATTATGAACAGGGTTTTAACGGACTTGATGTTTTTTGTGCTTCAGAGTAGAGATGAATTTTTAAATTGGTGAGAATTGTATAGTAATGAAGTAATACATTAAACGCAATCAACAGCAAGTTTTGGC